TTTATTTTTCTTCATCTTAAAAGTAATTCAGGTATTCAAAGTTTTGAACTTTTCGTTTAAATACGCAGTGTTTCATCTCTTCGTGCTCGTGCCAAACTTGCGATTGTTAGCTCATTTTTTGCAAGTTGTTTTGGATCACATCCATCTGGCACGATTTGCCGCAAAGCTTGTTAGCGTAGCTGCAGATGTGTTACGGCAATCGTAGTGACTCGCTATGCGGTTAGTCATACCTATGTATAAAACAGTGTTCATCTGAACTGCTCACTGAGCACTGCAGATTTCGCCCCTCGATAGTTTGGAAGTATTTTTTGTCCTCCTTGTTTACATTCCGCGAACGACAGCAACAGCAGTTCACTCTAGCCGAAACGGCTACAAGGCTAAGGGTCGTATTTCTTGTGCCACGGTTGCTGTGAAGATCGTAGATATTCAGTTAGAAAGAGTCTAAGAATTGTTACAATGTAGTTTTGATCACAACTGACCCATGAATAATCATAATTTCACCTTCGATTATACAAATCGGAAGCTAAAAACACCAAGATCAGGCTTTGCAGTGGATAACTGCTGCCGGGGATATGCGGCTTTCTACGGTACGAGCCGCAACGACTCACTGCTAGAGTAGGTTGGTCTTGATTATCAGACTGATACTACGGTCATTTTGTGTTGCGAATTCTCAGTTCTATCGATGCCGTTGCTGAAATACATTGGCAAAATTGATCAAACTTCAAGGAAAGCGCACCCTCGCCAAGAGGGGCATCCATGTCTGGGCTGGAAGTTTTTTTCCCGTAATTCTTGCATGCCCCCCTTTGCCCCCGCCGCCCACCTCCAGGAGAAAGCATGGGTAAAACACAACGCATAAGTATTGTGCTCATAGCCCCCTGCAGGAACAAAGTTGTCGTTTGTCCACCCCCCCCCCCCGCCCCCGCAAAATCCTGGCAGTGCCTCTGACCCGCGCGATCAACATATGAATGTTTTAGCGTACTCACATTCATTGCATAAGGTAACTGAAGCTATGTGTAGCACATAGATGGGAGTAGCGTCATTTTCAGTCAATTTTACGCTCGACATGTCGCCATTCAATATGAAATCTTACATAAAGTGCGCGAAATTTAACGCGCCTAGTTTCTGCCAATGCGCCGCTAAGATTATCAGGGTACTGTAAACACTGTACAGTGTGACCAGTGGCTTCCAGCGCGCTTTAAGACACTGGCCTACCCTGTAAAGTGTGGCCCAGTGTGTTTCAGCGCACTGGGCGACACTGGCCACGCTGTACAGTGTGTCTCAGTGCCTCCCAGCGTGCTCTAAAACACTGGGCTACGCTGTGCAGTGTGGCTCAGTGCGTTTCAGCGCACTGGGTGACACTGGCCACGCTGTACAGTGTGTCTCCGGGACTCGCAGTGCGCTATAGTACACTGAGACACACTGTACAGCGTTTCCAGCGTCACCCAGCGCGCTGAAACGCACTGGGGGATACTGGAAACGCTGTTTTTTTCGATAGGAGAGGACGACTTTCGTGTCCCATAAAGTACACAACAGTGAGCGAACCAAGACTTCGGCAGAAGCGTGGCAAACTCCGGAGGCCACTGCGTCCCAGTTTTTCACGTTGGCCAAGATGCGTCGTTGGTTAAGTGGAACGCATATAGTGGTTTTGGGACGTTAAACCCCACATATCAATCAATCAAGTGGAACGCGTCTGGTTGCCGAAGAGAAATTCTGAGCAGCTTCCTTTCGGGATTCTGTTGCTCGTCAGCCATGCTTTCTTCCGCTTCCTCGGTCAGGAGAACTACTTGGCCACTTCTGACACCATGTTGCGTTTTGAATGTTGACTGAGACTCGTTGGAGCTTGACACACAAGAGACGCGACTGCACTCGCGACCGTCACAAAACCACTGAACGCCTGGCACGCCAATCCCAGTTCCCGACGCGGGAGGCGCCTCTGAACAGCCCACTTAACACAGGTGACACCCCTCGAGCTTGCAGCCCTGTACGGGGCTTTATCCGCAAAACGTAAACGGTATTTCTTTTTTTTTTTTTCGTTAAGAAAAGTAATCCCCTCCCCCTCTATTCTAGAACAATGTTAAAGGTGAAACCGTGCGAAGTCACAAATTTTGTCGCCGATGAGAACGAGTGCAAGTGCGCTGCTCTGATTCGATGGTTTTCTTTCCTCGGTGTTTGTAAACAAACTGGCTCGTGCCGAACGGCCTACCCCAGCAGACTTCCGGTGCGCCACTTCTGGTAATGCTTCTTCAATGATCCCGGCGATGTTTTCGTGGTGTGTTCGAGTTTGCTGCTCTATTATTTCTGGCGCATTCCTTAGGATGTATTTGGTGCCACGTCTAGCGGCCACATGAAGGGGCTCGATGAAGTGCATGGCAGGTGCAGGTGCGGCCACTGCTGTAGGTAACACGGCTCACGTGGCCGACGGGCGCCGCGCAAAATATCCGCCGCGGCGTTCCGATGAGCGCAGCCCGCTCCTCCGTGTTAGCTCTGGCAGGGGCCGCGCCCTGCAGAAGCTTGTCAGCGAAGAACTTAATTGGGCTAGTTAGTTCTGCGTGTCGATGTGGACGCGCTTTGAAGACGCGGACAGAGAATTGACAGCACACACCTGTGTTTTCCCTTTCCGCGTCTTCAAAGCCCACCCACATCGTCGACATGCAGGAGAAGAGTTGCCGGTCCATAGTGAAGTTGTTCAATTCAGCTTTTCAACTAGAACTGAAAACCTTCCTTCTGTCGAACCCCGAACATATTTGTGTTTTCGTCTAAGCACATACAAAACGCTTATTTTTGCGCCTGTGTCACGCCGGGAACTCTTTAAAGATATCATTGGCGTTCGGAATTGCTCGCGATCCGAAATGTTCATGTGACCGAGAACATATAAAATGTACTGGTTATGTGATGGCATCAACTGAGGCTTGGTCACGCGAACTATTATGGTTTACTCACGAGTAAGCTATTGATGAATCAAACTTTCAAGTTGAACCCACCTAACCCATGTTCAAACCGAAAGATAAATGAGCTAGAATGCAGCAATATTAATAAGCGGCAGAAAGACAGACGATGAGTCATTTGCTCGCACAGATGAGTGCCCACTCGCCGGCGTCGCTTTGAAAAAAGACAAATGCCACTACAACGGAACGTGGACCCCACGACGTACACAGTGCGGAGATTCATGATGAGCATGGCTACTTTGTGTCCCGTGTTGTTTCAAACCGTACGCATAGTTATTATCGTTCAAACTATACGAGAAACACCTTTGCGATACATTTTCAGTGTTCGCTTTCACGTTTTGTTACCCATTCCACGCGTCAGTACACGTATCTACCACGAGTGGGACACGACAGCGCCTGATGTGTTCTCGGTAACCGGAACCTTCGACTAATCTAAAGTCTGAGTGTCGTCTTTGTGCCATTAGTGTGCGCTGAGCTTTACATTGCCTTTAATGAAGTGGGAAGAACAAGCCTACTGGCTTTTAACGGGAATCTAGTTTTCTCTCGTGAACAAAACAGAACGTTTTGACTAGCATATAAAATATTTCAGGCTTGCAGACTGCATCCTGGCTTGACAAAGCTGTGCCCGAGTTGCGAGCGCTTCATCGGAATAACTTTATCCGCATAAGATATCGGAACACAAGCAGCCGCGGCCAACAACAAAGGCTGAAACCACGCAGGAACAAGCTAAACCGGATGTTTCCTGGGGTGGTTTTCTGGGGAACGCACAATGTTGCCAGATGACCGACAGGCTCTCGCGAAACCGCGCGTGCGCAACCATTATTACTCATTCCTTGGTTGCTCGACACGTGCACTGAAAGCACGCAAATAATCATGCTCACCGAACAACGTATGCGCATGCTGTTAATATGCATCTACACTACTGGAGGAGGCGGGAGAAGGGATGCTTCCTGATATTTTCAAATTTATTAACGCAAACCCGCCACAGTGGTCTAGTGGCTAAGGCACTCGGCTGCTGACACGCAGGTCACGGGGTCATATACCCGCCGCGGCGGCCGCATTTTCGATGAAGGTGAAAATGATTGAGGCCTGTGTGCTTGGATTTAGGTGCACGGTTAAAGAATCTGAGGTCGTCGAAATTTTCGGAACGTTGCACTACGGTGTCTCTTATGATCATATGGTGGTTTTGGGATGGTGAACTCCAACTATTATTATTATTATTATTATTATTATTATTATTATTATTATTATTATTATTATTATTACATACAAGCGCACCCGTAAAAACACTCGCATGAACACATGAAGTCTCTTTATACACCACCCTCCACCCCGAAAGAACTTTGTCTGTGCTAGTGAACTAATGGATGCGTCTCTGCGTACAGATGCGTTGGTTGCGGGCTGCGTTCTATACACAACTACGCAGTAAAACAAACTGTCTCGATGCATCCGCAGTGCAAGAGGTATAGGTAATCAAGAACGCAGTTCGCTTATTAAAAATACATATGCCTCTTTTATCGGGGTTTCTTTCGTACTGCTTCTGCGTTGGTCGGTCTCAGCTGTAAAGCGCAGTTGCATATTTCACAATCTTCAGGATCGACCCTCTCTTGTCAGCACACACACCTGCTGACGGTGTCCCGGTGCGATATAATAAATGGTATGATTCCGCAAAAATAGGCGTGGCGATGGAACGCCGAGACGATAACGTGTTTCCATTTCGACACGTACACGTGGACTCTTCCATGCATCTTGACGAGCGTCGCGTGCGGCAACTGTTCACGCATGCATTGCTTAACGTAAATGGCAAAGAGTTGAGCCTGTCAAATATATATAATTTCCATCTCATGTTTAACGTACATCAAGAGGGACGTGTGGATTTCACGGAAGCCAACGTTTGGTACGATCCGCTCCACTCCGATTTTCAAGGTCAGGCCACCAGCAAGATGGGCAGCACAGAATTGTATTCGAAGGCTGAAATAATCAGCGCGCTTCTACAGGCCGACGTTGGAATGTTTTCACTCATTTGGCAAACAAGCGCTGAATAATTGAGACACATTCATGCAACAAGGTGTTTATTCTACAAGAATGTCTCGTGTGTATTGCAGCACCGGTACATCAGTCATCGAAGTTTACTTATTTGGCCATCATTCACCTGCTCCAGATCTTGAGAAGTATTCGTGCAGTTGCTTTGCGTGCACTCTGACAATGCTGTGTGACGGCGTAGTCTTGCAATGAATTAAGCAGCGCGTACGTATGTCGCATCTAAAAAAAAAGGGGGGGGGGAACTAAGAACCCAGAACAATAAAGAACTATGTTCCTAGGTCTACACTTAAAATGAAAACGTAATATTCGAAATGATTTATATAAAAGTATATGAGCATGTTCATACTATGTCGTGACGTATATAAAAATAATTATTTCAGGGAGGAGGTTCATCGGTTCATATCTTCAATATGTGTATTAGATCTATGTGGCATAAAAGTAGCTGCACGCACTAATTCGGATGGGCAAGGGACTGTGCCATAGCGCAATCATGAATAGCCTCTCAGAGACCTGACCTGTCAATGTACGCACACATGGTGGATTCTAAGAGTCCTGTTTAGTGATCTCTTGAAGGCATTGCGCTAAGTGAGCAACCAGCGTAACACCGACACTTCTCTCACACTCTGCGGCTATTATGGAGCATAAGACAGAGCATACCGACTGAGGCCATGCCTTGTCTTTCATGTCCACAGCAGCCTTGATGTATGTACCTATTGGGTGTCGCGGCCCTTACGCGCAGTGCTTCTCTGTGAAGTAAGTGCTGGTGCATGTGTGATACATCGCCACGAAACGGGAGGTCGGGAACAGCGCAGTGTTTCAGGCATCCATCTTCTTGATGAGAGCCCTGACGAGCTTCTCGAGGTCCTTCTTGCGTTTCTGGCCCGTTTCGAGGACCTCTTCGTGATTGGCCACTTGCTGGGTGTCATAGTTGCTTACGCACACGTTGCTGATAAGAGACAGGCCGAATACTCGGAGGCCACAGTGTCTTGCCACGATGACCTCGTGTGCCGTACTCATGCCTGCGACAGTAAAGCAACAAGCAAATGTAGCCTATCTGTACATTGTTTTCTGCGGCACACTCTTCAGAGACCTCAAAAAAAGAAAAAGCTGCCGGTGAAGTTGTGACCTCCTAGCCTCGAGATTCGAGGATGCCATATGCTCTGTGCCTCGACTATTTACCGTTTACCAATAACTTCACGAGTTCATCATTTGTACGTGTGCGCATTTACTTGAGGAGTTATAGAATAAACCGTATCACACTCTGTGCATGGTCACCTAAAACATAAAAAAAACAGCCGAGAAGCATTCACAGCATTCAGGCACAAAATTGTGCCTAGCAGTAACACGTATCCGTGGTTTACCCACCGAATCCCGCTCGGAATGAAAATAGAGACAAGTAAGTTTGTCAGTACATACAGATTGTCTCTGTTCACAGTTACAAAGGCTCTCAGACCCTCGGGAACACCTTCAAAGTCTTGTGCGGAATTCGGAAGATCAACTAAACAGATTACACGGTTTCGTTTACTCATTTTTTAAAAGGAATTCTTTTTATAAAAGAAGTAACATAAACCAGCAGTCAAGCTAGTTCAAATGTGTTGGTATTAACAAAAGCAAAAAGCTTCAGGACCAAAACTGAAGGTGAGTACAACACTGTAAAATTCACAAAATGATAACCGGCTGGGCCAGCCTTCCAAATCTAACATTTCAGAGTAGGTTGATTCAAAAGTCAGCAATAGGTTGATTAAAAAGATATCAATAAACAATTTAAGTGCAAAAGTGAAGAGAAATAACATATTTCTTGTAGACGTTTCTTCAGACACCAGGCCCGTATTCGTAACCCCTCCTTTTTTTCTTGAATAATAAAAGACCATCAACTTCCGTGCAATGGTGTAGTTATCCCATTGATCACGGCCACCAGCAAAGGGCACACGAGCTTCGTATATACAAGCAAATTTCACTTCATTTATACTTTTGTTATTATTTTCGTTATTATTTTTAGTTTACTGTTCAATCATAGGCACTGCCGCTCACTTTTTTGCAAGCACTCTAAAATAACTCAAGGCCGGAGAATCACCTTTAATATATGGGCGTCGTGTACCAGATACTTTTGCTTCTTGAGGTAAAATGCTGAATTCATATTGGATTGAACACTAATGAATCATATCGTCCAAGAGGAACCAGCATCGACCCCAAATATCATCTGATCACACCAGATATAAACACAACTCGCTTTTTATGGGCATCTCAACGGAAAATCCTCCCGAGTGTACATGTCAAACTTTCGATTCTCATTCAATGCATTCACATCACCACTGGTGATGGTCAATTTTAAAGGCACTTTACTGAAAGATGCGATAGCGCTTTGATTTCGTTCTGCCGATTGACGTAGAGATCGACGATTTCATCATCAAGGAAATTGTGCTTTGGGTATTTGACGTATATAGCAGTGACTTACCACAAGCGTCGGCACCGATCACACGGAGCATATTTATCTCGGCAACTGACTCGAAGTTTGGTCCTCCAAGCATACAATAGACACCTTCACGGAGGAAAGGCCACAGCGAAAGCTCTTCGTTGGCAATTTTCTTCGCCATTTCCCTAAGGTCTCTGTCATAGGCATTGCTCATGGCCGGAAAGCGAGGTCCCCACCTAGGCAGGAAGAAATATGCGGAAGAAAACTTACACGTGACCTTACTGTGAAGTGCCGCATCTACAAGCATAAATGACGACGTGCACTTTTGTTACATAATATCAAGACGAACCTATGATGAAAGGATTACCGTATAATCGAGCTTTACTGCACGAAGCAATCTTATAAGCGGCGAAGAACTAATGCATTACAGTTAGTTCTTACACTGCCTCATAGAGGGCACTAGGGGTTTTTGCATACAGACAGCAACTAGTAGAAATTGAGGAGGCGTGTCATATGTACAGCTCAACTAATAAAAAAAGAGAAACCCTGGAGATTGAGTACTTGGTACATATTGGGGAGAAACTGTTATAACAGCGCGAAAAAGCAATGACAACGTTAAATCTCCTGGCGCACGCACATTTCGAACCGTTCAAGTACTATGATATATTTTCCCAATAAAACTTGCTCGCAAGTCACTGCCCGTCTTGCGTATCACCACCCTCTGGCTACAGTTCTCCCAATGTGGTATGTTAGCACATATATAGTATCACGCTATTCAGGGCGCGCGTTCGATTCACGGCTACAGTGACCTCATTTATATAGGAGCGAAATTCTCGTACTCTCCACTGCACAAATACTTTCTCAAATAACATTCACCTTTCGTCGTTGCGACCTTTCAGAGGGTTGTCGCCGCCAAGGCCAGGGAAGTTTATGTGATCCCGAATGATCATGATATCACCAGCCTTGAAATTTGGGTTCACCCCACCAGCAGCATTGGTGACAATAAGAGTCTTTACTCCAAGCAACTTCATCAACCTTACTGGCATAGCACACTGAAAAATGAAAGAAACACAAGATGTACCATGTAAACAGCACAAATACAATGGAAGCTATAGTTATTGAAAGAACTGAGTAGTTTATTTCTATTCTAATGTGTGCAGCAATTCTTCATGTACTGCAACTGCAAAATACCACAAATATTGCGGCATCTTAAGGGCCAATAATTGACTCGGACTTTTTTTTTACACCTCCCAAACAAGCAGGCTGATTCGAAGGCTGCGGTCATCACATTCTGTGTTTATCACAGCACTGCGACGCTCCTGCAGGAGAGAAGGCTGGTAGATACGCAGGCCCAGCTCCAGGACGCTCCCGTGCTCCTTCTGCGTGACGGCGACGGCCGCGCGCGTTTCATCTCCGCTTTAGCAGCGACCGTCAAAACGCTTCCGCACCATGCACACACTTTCACTCGCGCGTAGAACGTGCAGTGGGATGAACATAGGACAAAAACGAAGTAGATGGAAAGAGCACACACTATCAACTGGCAATATTCATTTAATGGCTGCATATGTACTCCCCCTCTATTTCTTTATGAAGTATATAAAAAAGTGCATGTTTAAGCAACCACTAAATGAATGAAGCCAGTTGATATTTTGTGCTCTTTCCGACGTCTGTTTTGTTTGTTTTTGTGCTTTCGTCCGACTGTATGGAGCAGTGCTTCCTACCATGTACGATTCGGCATAGACTCCGCTGCATGCCTCAGATGGCGACGCACAAGCGGTCATTTTGAGAGTTTTTGGCGACGCGATACTACGACTACTGGTTCGTGGAGTCACCAAAATTGACACTGCAGTCTGACGTCGCGCTATTGTCAAGTGATGATCTTTACATACGGGACATTTGTATACTGAATAACAAGTACACAACGGTATCTATGAACACAAACGTGGTTTCCCAAAACTTTGCAAGTGACAAATCTGCGTGAGGACAATGTGGGGGATTTGTAACCGCAAACGTCTTGTTCGGGGACTCTTTAGGAAGTCCCTAAACACGCTGTAAATATAATAAACGGAATGGAGCGCCAGGAAGGTTCGTGGCGCAATACGAGGCCGATGCGCTCTTCGGGGAGGCGGGTACGAGTTAAACCTTGGAAATTCCTATTATTGTGGGATAACGATGGTTTTAGTTTACACTCACTCATCTTGTAATGTCACTTTTTCACGAAGCGGATATTATATGACATCAGGTGCACATGGTCATGTATACAATAAATTGTGCGCATAATATTCATTTGAAGAGTTTGATACGGCTTAATGCACTGCTACTGATAACATCATCTTGTGTACCTTCCATAGTGGGTAACCTTCGTAAGGATGAAATCGTCCTTGCATACAAATGACCGTCTTTCCTTCTAGGTTGCCGAAAACGAGCTTTCCGCTGTGGCCAGGAACTGAAAAGAGAGAAGGAAAAACCATAGTGGTGTAATGGTCACTATAGTGACGTTTATCTACGTCAGGGTTGCCGTTGGTGGCTACAAATTAGCGCTAAATTACCTACTTTACAAAATCGTCCGATGGCGAAAATTCTGGGTTGGCTCCATGGCTACTTTTAGAATTCGTATTTTTATTTACACATTTATCTCATGAGATGCCGACAAAAACATTGTTTCTTGTTCTGCTGAGTAAGCCGATGAACGCGCATGTTCTCGAAGAGTTTGTGCTCAAATTGCTCAGGAAAACATTGTGGAGGAGGGTAACTACCCACAAAAGTCGCTGCTTAGAAAGATGCGTCTGCAGTGCCTGTACAGTCAGCATGAGTTTCCTTCCTAAAGTGTTTGTATATGATGGATTCCTCTGCCGTTCCATTCAGTATGTGGAAAGGAAATAGACATAAAGACAAAGCGCTGGCACTTGTGACAGTATTAAGCGCTTCGAATTCGTTTGATATACAATATTTCGAAGTAAGGGCACCTCTATAGATGTAATTTCAAAATTAAGACATGCCGAGAGCAATCACCTCTGGTCGAAAGTGCAATACGCACATTTCAGCTGCAAATGGCAATGATAAATATTTCTGCTGTGCATCACAGATAATTAACTTGTCAACACTAACGGGATGAGTGGCGAAGGATCACGGTGTACCAGATGTTGTACATATGCTAGTTTTTATTTTGTTATTTAACGAGAAAGCGTTATTTGGCTGGCTTGGCGGAAATGGCTCTGATCGGGAATCCGCTAAATCCGTGTCCGGAAATTACGTAATCTCTCTCACCACAACTGATCTACGCCAGTGCCAACAACTGCCATAGCAACCACTTGCAGCCGCGATGGCTCGCTCCTCTAGCCGTGGATTTTCAGAGGGGTATATCCCCGCATCGGCAGGGGAAGCCCAGACTCGAAGGAAGCGAGACATTGTCTGCCTTATCAGTTAGTCTTCATCTTCTGTAGACGCAGTGTCGCAACAGCATGAGTAGCTGTACTGAGTGTGATGTCGACGTTGTTGGCCTATCATCGACATCGGCAGAAGACTCGTCGACGAAGCGTTCCCTTGACGAGAGGCATTCCCAGGGGAAGCACGTGCATGCTATATGCACCCAAGCCACAAATATATGATAACTGCTGGGAAAGGCGGAGACGAGAAGTTTGCTCGACAAATCAACGTTCTGAGTGTCATATTTGTAAATGATTGTGCGAGACACTTACATGCTCGATGAACTCGTCAATGAACTGGTTGGAAAGCCGTAGCAAGTAGAAAATGCAGTGAATTGGGCTAGTTGGTCTGGTTCATTATATTCCAGCGAGACAAACACGAAAAAAAAAAACTAGGGCTCACATATGACATTGGACAGCGCGGAATATCAACAAATTCAGCAAATGTGTTACTTGAATAAAAAAGGACGAAGGCGACGGAATGCATTAGCATGCCGTATATCCCCGTCCATGACAGTAAATTAGCACTTCTGGACATTGCATGAGCAGCCAAAGGCCTGACGCGTGGGAACCATTTGAAATCTTTTAAGTTTGTACTTTCTGCAAGCATCTATACCGCAGTTAACTATGAGCAGGTGCGCAGGTTGGCCCTCTATGTACAAACATATCCCTTCAATAAAAAATTTCATTTGATAGGCACCGCTTCGTTTAGTCGTATGTGTTCCTTAGCTTTTTTTTTTCCTGGGTCTTGTCAAGCTGTAACATAATGGACGTAGAGGAAGACGCTCACAGAGAAATAATCATAGCATAGACGCAATTCTCGCTGGTATCCGGGCACGTCGCACTCGGCAAGAGCGAAAGCTTTATATCCAACGAACCAAAAATTCCATAACACACTTCTCTCGCACTACCTCATACTTTATAACAGAAATTGGCAACACCACTTTGCAAGAGGCCTGCCTTACGACCACTTACACGGGCAGAAACGTTTTGTGTTCTCATCTCGAAAGAATATGCTTAGGGATTCTCTGCAACAATTTTTTTTTTTGTTACTATTACACTCTCGTATACTCTCGGTTCTGTCCGAAATGGCCACCTCCACTTCGGACAGAACGTTCGCACGTGTGCTTCCTATATGGAGCAACTTCAGAGGCCTCGCAGCCACGCATTACGAAACTCTAATGGTTTTGTTCATTAATGTCACGAATTTCATTATAAGCGTCCGCTCTTGACACAGTGACTTAACCTCGCATACCAAGGCCTGCCGGCTTCCTTTTTTCTCTCCGGCCAGCTATCACACTCATCCGACTCGGAGATCAGCGACGGCACGAATGACGCCACTTCCAACAGGCCTTCCTTATCTCTAGCCGGCGCCCATCACCCCGTACTTATCAGGAGGGACTGGCGAAACGAGACGCTCGGGTGGAGAGTAGGGCCCCTCGAAGTGGCAGACGAAGTCAAGGTCGGAAAAACACCTACGCGCTTGCGGCCGCTTGAACCGGCTCTCCTCCGCTACTGCAGGGGGCTGGCGTAAATGACCATCTAGTTCAGTCCCGTCGTAATAGAGAACTAGTCGAGCTGATATCTTCGGCCCGATCTCTCAGGGTCAGCCTTTATAATAGAAGCACGAACTGAGTATTTAAATTATATACAGAACTCCCAGGATATATATAAAAAAAAAACGTAGACGATAGTATATAACCTTTGTCTGTTTATTCCCCAAATATTGCAGTAAGTCGGAAATGAAGCACTCTGAAGAAGCTTTGAAAACCGTTGCGCAGTTCGGACGCGGCTTGCAGAACACTAATATGAACATTACTTCCTCAACTACTTGGACATTCCTTCCTTCCCAGGTTGCTACAAATGCGGCGGTTACTGCTTCGGCAGGCACCACCAAGTTCCTTCCAGGCCGCTGAACACTCACAAGGCGCAGCACCGCAGTGGCCGCCAACGAGATATATATGGCGGTCACTACTCTGGAGCCTCGATGATCCTGAGGCTGAAGCCATTGGCACTCGACTTCTCGGATGTTACATTCAAAGCGTCGGATGCCACGATGTAGATTACTTAGTAGGCCTCCGGAATACCTGTCACCCTCTCCTTTTCTGTCCTATTCATTCAACAAGCATTCACTGCAGCCTTCCAAGAGCAAAAAAAAAAAAAAGGAATGCAAAGAGTGAACAGCAACAACGACCTTTCGCTTTTAATAATAAGCGCTTATGGTTATACTGCGGTCCTTTTGTTACGCGGCAGCTCAGAATTTTATTTTTCCTTTTCTTGATATGCTTGAAGGTTATCAAGCCAACTTCGCTGCTCCTTCTACAGCAACAGCAGCAGCTGCCGCTGTCGCCGTTCTCATTACTCGTAGTCCGGCACGTCAAGCTTAATCATAAATGTCGCGTCACGTCTAATAGGAACGCCATCATTTTTTTTTTGGTTCTTGGATTCTCTGCGAGAAGTTGTTCGTGATGAGTAAACATTCATGATGTTGCCAAACGTATATCACTCCGCTGATAAAGATGCATCAGATGGAGACATGGGTGTTGCAGGGGGGGGGGGGGGGGGGTGCGAAAAGGGCACTGAACTACCCCACCCCGTCCTCCCCCATCGCAACACGGTTTGCACTCCCGCAAAAAACAAAAACAAAAAAACAATCCTGCCGACACCCATAGAAGGAGGTGTGATCTTGTCACACGTGGCAGAGGACACATTAGCGAGGTATATTATAAGACTAGAGAAGGGTGTAGGGTAATGTACAAGCGAAGTGTACCAACCTGTGCTAACGGGAAAATCTGGAATGTCCTTGTATTGAAACTCCTTACTGCCTCCGATGAGGTCAGCCAGGGAGCCCAAGCCAGAGCCGCATATGATTCCTATCGTTGGGCGGTGCTCGGTCTTGCTCAGCAGGAAGTTAGCGATACTTTCGATGTGCTCATACGAGTACCTGCACAAAGCAACAAGGGCCCGTACTTGATCTACATCGAAGTGCGACAATCCTTTCGCGTGCGTACCGAAAGCGCAGATTAGGCGCTTTTGATATGCTAGTCAGTAAAAATGATCGAGCGTCGAGACATGCACACAAAACTATACACATTCACTGAGAACATGCCTTATTTCGAACCATGGCGTGTAAGTACTATTTGGAATATGTGTATGGTATTTAATTGCACATTGCCAAAAATTAAGAGGCCAAGACAAACTATAACTACTAAAAAAAGAATCAAGAAAGGGCATTGCACTGGTCATAACTCAATAAATATTCACGATACAGCAATGACGACACCACACACAAATTGATGTCACGTAGCCATTTGATTTTGTGGGTTTTGACGTCCCAAAACCACTATTTGATTATGAGAGACGCCGTAGTGGGGGGATCCGGAAATTTTGACCACCTGGGGTTCTTTAACGTGCACCCAAATCTGAGTACACGGGCCTACAACATTTTCGCCTCCATCGGAAATGCAGCCGCCACAGCCGGGATTTGATCCCGCGACCTGCGGGTCAGCAGCCGAGTACCTTAGCCACTGTGGCGGGGCGATGTCACGTAGCCAAACCGACGTGGTGGAGTATCATTCAGCATAGGCTGTACTGCATGAATCAGCAAAAACGGCACCCTATAATGTGTCAAGATTTTGTGTTTCAATATTCTGAAAGTGTCGCGAAGATTTAGCGACTGATTTGTTTTACGTCGTTACGAAGGAATAACTGTAACATACATAAGTCTTATGCCTCCAGCATGCCCTAAGCAATCAGGCCAGAGTCATTAAAAGTCATTTCTTACTGTTCGTCCTTGGAAGAGCTCATGGCTGAGTTGTGTCGACCGAGACCGTTGGATGACGACTGCGCAGCTCGAAAAAGTGAGCCCGAATAGATAGGACGCGTTTTTATGTACCTCGCGCCGACGGATGATAATACGCTGCATTTTAACAGCTTAACTGCCACCGGCGTAGGAGCACACCATAAATACGAGTCTCAGGTCTACGTGAACCGCAGAAAGCTCATTTTCGGCGCCAAACTGCCCTTTCGGGCTTCGGAGGTGTGTTATAACGTTGACTCAGCGTCAGCGGTAGGCCGTACCACATCCTTCACCAGTGCCCCGTAAATCTTTAAAAACGATAAGGATACCGCAGAAGTGCCCTTTTGGTGCTCTCGTCTCTTGTGCTGTGGCCCCTGAGCGTAACATTGAAGCAGGATCTTCATGAGAGACTAGTACTGATTGTGTGCCTTTTTTTATGCAAAAGACCTTAAATTATGTTACAGCCTCTTGACACATTTGTACTACTTCTATTTTGTTCTGTCGACAGTGCTTTCATGCATGCACGATACACTCGTTGTATTATTAAAACAAATATAATATAGTATTATGTGTTGTTCGATAATGATAAGGCCAATATATATATATATATATATATATATATATATATATATATTTACACGAAAATTTACACGACTTAGTCACATCCTCTAAAGTTACTAAACCGCAATATTCGGGTTGCCATCCATGCAATAAATCACGCTGCAAAATTTGTGCACATATGACAACATCACTTTCAGCTCAGAGTACCGCCTCCGGTTTCAGTCTTAAAATAAAGGGTAACTTTTGCTGTTACACATCGAACGTAATCTATCTTCTGGAGTGCTCTGTATGTGGTATGCAATACATTGGACAAACCGAGACCAGCTTTCGTCTACGTTTTAATAATCATAAAGCACACGCGATTTCCCTTCCTAACTTACCGTTATCGAAACACGTTGCGCTTCCAGGTCATTCCTTCAGCAAGATAAAAGCTACAATTCTAGAGTCAGGCTTTAGCTCCCATCGTGACAGAGAAGTCCGGGAATCATATCTCATCCACAAATTCAGTACCATTGCTTTCGGTCTCAACGAAAATCCCGGCACCTTAACGTTCTTGCGCCAGTAATATGTCATGCGCATTGATCACCTTTTATTATTATATCCTTGAAAATTGTCCGTAACAGTGTAGGTGCTGTTTTTCACGTGTTAATCTTCTGTTATCGGTGTTTTTTTCGTCACCACATGATCTGTCAATTGCTGTTGAATCTTCTTGTTACGCGAGTATGTTACTGACGAACAGTATGTTGATACATTTTGAACGCATTTTTTCCACGTGTATTGATTGTACCTATCTACAATCCATGTGACCAACTGGCATATAAGTGGTTACCATTGCTGTGTTTTGTTTCATTCTGACGAAGGCCGGGCCCACGGTCGAAACGTCAAGTAAAAAATCTTTTCACTTGTGAGTCAACTCCTTTTATTCTCCTATTATTCCCGGATCCGGCGACAAACGCTCCTCCAATGTCTCTTACTCTGGATTCCGGTCGACCCACAGTGAAAAGAATATCATGGATGTTTCCAAGATGCCAGGTTTCCACAATCGTGTTGGGTGATTCGCAGACCAAGTATTTGCATCAACATTTCGATCCCGTTGTTCCCGGCACACCTGCATTTGTTTCGTTGTGCGGTGCTCTCATTGATGACGTTCACAACTTGCTCGACTTCATCCCGGATACGGCACAGACTGTGATTATCCATGTCGGCACAAATGACCTTGCGTCCTCTTCAGGTCGCTTCGCCTTCAAAAAGTACTGCTCGCTACTAGAAGCGGTGATTGCACAGCACCCTAATGTCAGGCGCATTTACGTAAGCCTTATTCTTCCACGTTCCGAAAGTCGTCGAAGAAAGTTTAGGAATAGAGCATTCATTCGCCGTTGCAATCGAGAAGCATGTCACTTGAATTTTTTGCTACGCAACCATTGCCGATTCTCCCGACAAGTGTTCTTCATTGATCATGGGTTGGAATGGCTTCCCCCCTGCCGCACACTATGCATGGATGGATTACATCCAAGTTTTGAAGGAGTCGCTTTAATCGCCAGCCATATTCGCAGGCTGTGCGGTCCTTTTCCTAGAAGCACGCCCTCTTCATGGCGCGATTCCTCTTCGGTTGACGCTTTACCAAATGCCGATTTCACTTCCGAATTCCCTGCTCTACCTGCCGTGTCAAATGCGCACCCATCGCCAAGTCCTTTGCTGCGGCTTCCAGTCGACACCTTCGTGCCCGCCTCTACCCAGTCTTCCACCCTTCCTTCCACTACAGCGCCTGCGTCAATGACCTCTTCCAGACTTCCTTCCGGTTCTACTCTGAACTCTTCCCGTGTATCTGTTGGTACACCAACATTTGGGTCTCTTGGTGCACACCGTCAATCCTCTTCGCTTCCTGGCCCTTCTAGTTGTGCCCCTCCCGCGAGGACCAACAAGCGTCTTCGACGTCCTTCTGACTCTGGTTCTCCAAGCCCCCCACCTGTCCGACCTAACCTGACCTCCTCTCCACCTAGTGGCCATCGGGCCACCGCTTCTCCCCCAAGCGCTGCATCCTCTGGTTTTCTTGGCAACCCATTCGTTCAGTGCAGAAACTCTGATGCCACTACGTTACAGCCCGAATGACTACATGTTAGCAATGGTACGTATTCTGCCTCCAACAATACCTATTTTTTGCGCACTAGAAAGGTAGTTGAAAAAACGATACGATCAGAGTTGCATGTTTCCGCATTGAATGCTTACGTGTCAGAATCAGTGGTTCCTAAAGGTCTCATGATTGTGCATCATCCAGCCGTTAAATTGTCGCCCACTCACCAAGCAAAATGGGACGATGCACTAAAGAATGCGTCCTTGAATTTGACCCGTATCATCCTAAATCACTATGAACACTCAGCAAAATCTTTGTCGAACACTGTACGACAACTGCTTTCCCAATCAAGGTTATCATCAGAACAAGTAATACTTCTCGATGAGTATCGGCTTAAGAAACGAGATGAGATTGTCAAGATTAAGATGAGCAAACTTGCGCGTGATAATGTACCTATACCGGCCTCTCTGACGACTGTCGCGTCACGGGCTACGTCAAGAACTTCCTGTAGAACATCCGAGCATGATAACATAGTAAACCTTTCCAATCACTGTTTGTCAGATGACGAGAAGTCTGTATTATCACGTGGCCTCAATTTTTGCCCCACTTCCGGTGGGTATAACGAATTTCAGTTCCTACAAGATTTAGACAACTTCGCCCGCAACATGAGGCTTCGAGAATTTTTCTATAATATGCCTACGTCGAGTAACTCTACTGCTCCTTTGTTTTCGAATAAGCGATGGACACCTCCAATTCAACGCGAGAAATGCCTAGATCTTTACATTGAAGCGGTCCAGCGAGATCTACTCGAAGCATATCAAAACAACAACCATTTAAGAGCAACATTTCTATTAAGGAAAAGGAGGCAATAAAGAGCTTGGCTAACAATACCGACATTGTCATCAAGCAAGCAGACAAAGGAGGCGCCATTGTTCTTATGAATCGAGTTGACTATATTTCAGAGGCTTACAGACAGTTACGAAATGACACCTTCTACAGACGCTTGGAAATGGACCCCACTAACGATTTTAAATGTGTCATCAAAAAAGAATTAGAACAACTCGTGGCAGATAAAAAGTTAACAGTCAAGGACCTATCTTTCTTGCTCCCGCTAAGTCCTTCAGCAGGAAGGTTTTATCTACTACCCAAAATTCATAAGACAGGCAACCCCGGCAGACCAATAGTTTCGGCTATCGGTTCCGTAACTGAGAAGATTTCCAGTTTTGTTGACACCCTCATTAGCCATATTCCGCAAACTTACCCGTCCTACATCAAAGACTCAGGCCAATTCTTGAGCGACATTGCCGATTTAATTATTCCTGAAGGATCCCTCTTGGTTACTCTGGATGTTTGTTCCCTATATACAAACATTCCACACAAGGACGGAATCGAAGCTGTTCGTCAGGAATACGAGCGTTCGGCCTCCGACCATTCTATAGATGGCGCAACATTAGCAACATTATTGAAATTAATTCTTCAATACAATAACTTTGAATTCAACGATGACCATTTC